GGGTGCCCCACTCTCTGGGGGCCCCCCCCCGCTGTGTGGGGCGGGGCTGGGACAGAGCACATCCAGGAGCAGCCTGGGTGGAAGGTGACTCTGGTGGCCCGGGGCTCCAGCCTTCCCACAGATGGGGACAAGGACCTCTGTTCACTGAGCTCCCACTCCATGCTTGACTCCATGCTTGACTCCATGCATGACTGTTATCCCCCCGTTATAGGTGGGGAAACTGAGGCTCACAGCTGCAGGGTTGTCAGAAGCCCCACCGTAAAGGCGAGAGCCAGAACAAGGTGGGTCGGAGCCTCACTGCTGAGCCCCTGCGGGTCGCAGCCCCTCGGCTGTCACAGAGAGTGAGAGACAGCACGGGGTAATGACAGTCTGCTGCTGACAAAGTGATGGTGCTTCTAGAACACCAGACACCGTGCTGGTGCTTGGAGTCAGACGGAGACCAGGCTGCCCCGCGACCCCATAATGACAGGGTTCCCTCCTTTCACTGCCTTTCTGCCTGCCTACAGCTCCTTGAAGTGACAAGGCCAGCCCCGCTGTCACCCTCAGGCCTCCTGGGTCAGCCTCCGGGCGGCACTCAGTCCAGACGGGGGCTTGCTTCTCCAGCCTTCCTCGGATTCATCTGGCACAAGCCCAGACCCTGGGGGGTGCTTTTCCCGATCCGCCTCACAGAGGCACCCCTGAGTTTCCCTGGGCTGCGTGCTCCCATGTAGCTACAAGCTTAAGAAACCTCACATTTTCTTACTGCAGGCGTCTTCCCTGGCTGTTGGGTGGGCCGGCCTCAGCAGCACCGCATGGGGCCCAGTGGCTAACTGGGGTTTGGGAAGGGGTAGGGAGCGTGCACAGGGCTGGGCGCACAGGGGGCTCGGGAGGCTCTGGCAATGTGGCTTCTTAAGAGGACTGGTAGTATCCGGCCTTCATTTGTTTATTTTTTGATAAACATTTTTTCTTTAAAATGTGCATATGTTTTATACATTATTTTAATGTACGTATGTTTCACAATAAAAAGTACAAATTAACAAGTTAACATAAAAAGGAAAACAGAAGCCAGGTCTGGGACGGCCAGGGTGTCAGCAGCCAGAGGGCAGTCTGGACAGAAGCTAGGGGAGAACAGGTAGACCAAGACGGCAGGTCCCCAAGAGCCTTAGGACCACCTCTCCCCCGACCTTAAGAAGAAAGAGGCAAAACACAGACAGGAGACAAGGAGCCCTCGGGGGGAGCAGTGGGGAGCACTCGGGGAGCCGGCATTCACCCAGCCTGTTAGTGACGTCGTGGGGATTCCAACCTGCTTGTCACTTTTCATCTCCCTTTAAGTATTTTCCTGTCGCTGAGCTTGGCACCTGATCTGCCTCCTGCCTAGGACCATCGGTTGTTTGGTTCTTCTAATGTCAGACCTCATTCTTCAGGTCTGCAAACCACCCACGGAACGTGGCTTTCCCTACCCACGGCTGCCTAAAGAAAGCGCCACCTCTCCACGCCCCTGCTTATTAGTCACCCCATTGTCCTGCTGAATCAATGAGGTACGCTGATTGCAGGATAGATCGGTGTAGGTTGCCTTCGGACAGGCATCTATTGTCTTTAAACAGCAAGTTCTGTTTTCTATTCACTTTTTTGCGGCTACATCAGAAAATCCAACGGTACTTTTAAAAAATTGGATTTACCTAAGCTATTGGAAGCGGTCATTTATTTAGCATGTAAACTTTATACTCCCAGAGATAGGTTAATCCCAGCCATTGTGAATGCTGGAGAATGATTTCTGAAATGTATCCAAGCCGGAAAATGTACCATTTCACCGAAAGAATGGGCTTTGGCTTTCTGGTTCTTTTTCTTCAGTGAAGCTTCGTATAATTTTAACAGGCCTGAGTTTTGATTTCTGAACTTTTAACCTTGTGGGCTTTTAAACTTTTAACTTTTAACCTTTTTAACCATTTGAAATGGTAAAACTGAAATAGAACAATGTTAGCTTGGTCAATAAGAAACTTAAATTTGAGAGTGTGAGGTTAATTTTCATTTCCTTGGTTTTACATCGCCAAGAAAAGCAGTACAAGATTTCCTGCTTTTTAATTTCCCAGATGATTTATAGATTTGGCAACAACACTATTTATGGGAAAACATTAGAAGAAAATAATCTTTCTGCATTAACAGAAGGAATTTTGAAAGACATAATGCAATGAATAGTCTTCCTGTGTTTGTGGTCAGATTTCTCCTGGCTTGAACCTTTCAAGGGATTCCACCCCAACCCCATGCTCTTAGAACAGAGCCTGAGCTCCTTGGGAGCCCACAAGCCCTGTAAGTTCTGGTTTCCATTACCCTTCTTTGCTCATCTGCTGACCCCAGTACTCTGTGCTCCTGTTGATTGAACTTCTCTAGTTTCCTAAATAAAATCTGCCCTGTGCTCTCTCCCTCCTGGTGCTTTGCACATGCTGTTCCCTCTGCCGGGCCTGCTTATCCTCCCGACTCGCTACTCATCAGTCTCTCCTTGTACAGCGTAGAGGTCACTTCTTCCAGGAAGCCTTCCCTGACACTCCTGAATGAGTGTGTGATGTATGCTGCTCCTCAGCTTCCCACATGGTCCCACGTGTTCTCTATCATAATCCTTCTCCTGCTCTATTATCTTGGCAATTCCTCAGTTTCTTGTGTGTCTCCTTCACTAGACTGTAAGTTCTGTGAGGGCAAGAACCATGTATTTTACTCACTTCTGTATCCCTAGGGTCTAGTATGGTGTTTGACACATGGTGGGTACTCAGTTAGTGCCGGGTGAATGAATGGATACATGGCCAGAATTTGATTGATCTCCACCAAATGCTGGTATCACATCTCTTACAATTTATCATTAATAGTTCTTGGATGGCTTTCTCTTAGTTTTTAATTTGGTCATTTACTCCATCCATCCACTCAATTATCTACCCATCTCTCTATCTCTCCAACCATCCCTCCATCCATCCATCCATCCATCCATCCACCCACATATTTCTATGGCTAGGCAGAAACGAGGTTGAAGTTATAGTAAGTCTTAGGTAAAGAAGAAAACCAGGCTCTCTGATGTTAATGCCAGAATATAGATCAGACTCAGAAAATTGGAACCACATTGCAGACACACCTAGGCAGGGAATACCAGAGAAATGGATTATCCAGCTAAAGTGATTCAAGTCTCACACATGCACAGTGAGCTCATAAATATAGACTCTCACTCCCCGCCCCACCTTCCTCTCTTCTTCCTTTCCCCCTTCCTCCTCTCTCCCTCCCTCCCTTCCTTCCTTCACAAAGCCGTCATGGAGGCCTCTTTCTGGGTCAGGCCTTATCCTGAGGACTATTGAATCAGACCCAGATTTTAGCCCTGAAGATGCTCTGAATGTATAGGGGATCCTAGAGTGGGTATAAAAAAAGATACAAAAGGCACTAAGTGTCCTGTGCCATAGGAGAGGCCCAGATAGGGTTTCCTGAGCACCTGGAGGAAGGAGAAGGAGGAAGGTTGCACAGAGGAGGGGACATTTGAACTGGGTCTTGATGGATGGGTAGGATTTAGATATGTGAGAAAGAGGGGAGAACATTCTAGAAGGAAGAAATCAAAGGAGCAAAGACACAGAGGTGGAATAAGTCCAGGCAGGTCCAGGGAATCCAGCAGTCTGGGGGAAAAGCAGTGGGAAGAGGAGACACAGAGGGTTTAGGAAGGGGCTTGGGCCAGATCACAGCCCCTGCCTTGGTGGCCAGCTGAAAAACAACAGATTGAGTAACGAATTCATCTTACAAGTATTCTGACCCACCTATGTTGCCACTTTAGGGCCTATTGCCTCTCCCCTGATGGTCTGTGGTAGCACTTGGCCTGCTCTACCTGCCTCCAGCCTTGTCTGTCCTCCCCCTCCCCTGTAGGCGGCAGACTCTCCATAAAGGAGCATATCATGACGCCCCTCCCTTGCCTATAGCCTTCCAGGGCTCCCTTGTGCCCTGAGCATACATTCTAAGCTCCTTGTCCTGGACTACAAGCACCCCCGCCCCATACACACACAAACACACACACACACACACATCTTTACTCCCCACACCCCTCCTAGGCTTCCTGGGGCTGCTTTCATTTCCTTAAATGGCCCCCTACATTTTCCTCTGCTTGAGATAGCCTTCAGCTCCCCCAGCCCCAGTCGGTGCAGGCCCCTCTGCAGATTCTGCAGGCTGGGGACAGATACGGATTCCTTGGGGACCCTTTCCCCCTCCCACAGGACCACACCAGTTGTTGCCTGTTTATCTGGCTTCCCCACTGGACCTCGAGCTCCTAAGAAGAGAATGTTTGCGGGACTCGCTGTTCTCTGGTGTGCCTGGTGTGGAGCAGGCCCCAAATTCCTGGGGCTTCAGGGGCAGGAGATAGAAGGTCTTTGACTGGTGGGGGTGGGGTGCCTTCCCCCCCCCCCCCGCCCATCTCCCAGTTCCCTGCGTCCCCAGAGGCTGGAGGAGGCCATGTGGTGAGGAGAGACAATTGCCACCACAACCCAGCCCAAAGGTGTGAGGGGTAACAGGTGCAGTTGGGGGAGGCCCTGGGAGGTCTGGCCGGCTCTGAGGTTGCCTCCAGGTCCAGCAGAGATAGAGGGTGAGGCTGGCAAGCAAGAGCCAGAATCCAAACCTTAGGTCTGGGTAGGAAGGAGCCACCTCGGGGGGGTTGGGGGGGGAGGGTGGCGGCGGGGGGGCCTGGATGAGGAGCACCCGTGACTTCGGACTCTGCATCCATTTTGCCCTTTCTCCCAGTTTCTCTGTTTATCTTTCCAGCTAGACCCGCCTGGGGCTATTTCTGCTTCCTCCTTGTTCAGCTGCTTGAGCAGCCTTGTGGCTTTAATTGGCCCATTTTCTGCATGCTGGAAAGATATTTCCCTCCTTGTCCCACTGCCCGCCCCCCACCACCCAGGAGACCTGAGAGTAAAAGCTAGAAGTGAGGCTAATTATGGAGAGAAAGGCGGACAGAGACAGCCCAGGAGAGGGAAAAGGGGGTGGAGACAGAGACAGAGAGACAGGGACAGAGACAGACAGAGGCAGGGCTCAGCAGGCGACACAAAAGAAGAGTGGGGGGCTGGAGAAACAAGACAGAAAGAAAGACAGGAGGTAAGAATGAGGGAAACACAGAAAGACAAAGGGACACAGAGAAGCAAACAGATGGATCTGTGTCCCTGTTTGAGGGACAGGAAAAAGAGGCAGCCCCCAGGGCGAAGGAGCGCAGGGTCTCCAGGGAGGTGGGGGTTCCCGGCATTGAGGCCCCCCGCAAGCATCACGCTTCTCTGGGCCGGAGTGCTGGGTGGGGAAGACACAGCACAGTGTGTCCCATCTGCAGGAGACTGATGGTAAGGATGTCACGGTGCTTTGTCACGGGTGATGTCTTACAGAGGTGCAGAGGGAGGGAGTCATTAGTGGGAGGTGTGGGGCTTCGCGGTGGCCGGCTCTCTTTCCTCTTGCATTTTAAATGAGGTAGGGTGGAGGTGGGCAAGACTTCCTGCCCTTCTTCGTTGTTGATTGCGGAAACAAACATTTACTGACCACTTTCTAACCGTGCCCCGCCTCCTCTCTGGGCTCTGCAGATACGAGGTGATGGAGGCACATTGCTGCCCTCCTGCTCAAGGCCCGGCTGACATCAGGGGGTTAATGTTTAAAGTCTACGGAATACACTGAAAGGAGAAGAAGCTGACCCAGCCACACCCACTATACCCTGGCATTTGCTCTAGCCAAGGTAGGTGGGAGGAGTCCAGAAGAGGGAGTCCCGATCTCCACCTGGGGCAATCAGGGACAGCTTCCCAGAGGAGGCAACACAGGAGAAAGCCTTGCAGGCTTCCCAGAGTGGAGAAGGCAGGGAAGGAGTTCCAGGCAGAGGGATCAGCCTATGCAAAATGCAGGGACATGGGGAGGAGAGCTATTCAGGAAATGGAGGGTGAGGGTGGGGGAAAGAGGGAGATGAGGCTGGGCAGGTAGGCAGGGGCTGGATTGTGGGGACCTTGAATGCCTGACTAGGAGTTGAGGCCAATGGGTGATGGTGTCCAGCAAAAGAATAGCATGATCAAATCTGAGTTTTCTCCTAGAAACCTCGCTGATATAAGCCGGGGCAGGAGCAGGGGGCCCTGGGGCTGGGAGAGCATGAGGAGGCTTTGGCAAAGGTCCGAGGGCCTGGATCAGGGGAGGGAGGCCCATGGGTGAGTAGTCCTGCACTGGGATGGCCACCCCAGAACCCATGGCCACAGAAGCCTAGAGAAGAGCCCTGTGCAAACTCTGAGACCAGCTCGTCCAGGGGTCTCAAACTCAGGGGCCCTCAGGGGCCGTAGGAGATAGCTGGGGTGAAACTGTAGAAAATGGTGGGACCTGGGCAAACTGGGGTGCACCTTCAAATTGCAATTTTTTAAAGATGTTTATTGAATACACTGCATGGGTGGGGGGGCAAGACAGCAAAGGAGAGACTGTCTGCCCAACTGCAAGTTTTTTGAAAATAAGATGTTAGTCAAAAGAAATGGCCGGCCAGATTGGTCCCTCTGTCATCACTAGGTTCTGACCTCACCCCTTCCCCACATTTCACAAGGAGGAAACTGAGGCCCAGGGTGGCCAAAAGACTTGTCCAAGTGTGAGCCCCTTGTAGTCATTATCCAGTTGGGTTAACACCCTCATTTCAAGGCGAGGAAACTGAGTCTCAGAGAGGTGAAGTAGTTGGCCCGAGATCACACGGCTGTGGGAGAAGGGGGACCGGGCCACTTCCCCAGGTAACATTCCTTTCAGGAAAATGACTCAGCCCCTTCCAGAACCAGCTCCGGCACTGAGGGAAGTAGAGACCCAGGAAGAACAAGGAACCGCTAATTGCCTGAAGCAGACTAATTGTCGGTGAGAGGGGGAGGTGGGCCAAACAGAGGGTAAGAACCAGCGGGGGGACTATGAGGCGGCCCCAGGGGGACGCGCTCTGGTTCAGGGACTCAGCTGACCGAGACCCACAGCCGCCAACCAGCTGCTGGGCAGGGGGTCGGGGCCGGGGGTGGGCCGCTCCGCCTCCAAGGCCCAAATCACCCCAGCCTGGGGCCTGCTGAGCTGCTGATTATCTGCCAAGCTGGACTTTAGAGAATAATCATCACAACCAATAATAATGCCTCCCACCAGCTCTGAGCTTTTAATGTGTTCAGCTACTAGCGAGCAGCCTTGTCTCATTTGGAGAGAATGGGCAGTGGGGTTTGCAGCTGGCCCCAAGAACGGGAGAGTCCAACCGAGGTCAAAGACAGCCGCGTTTACCAACCTGAGCCTGTTTCCTCGACTGTAAAATGGAGACGTTGTTCTCTGCCCCTGCGTATCTTCTCAAGCCTCAACTTCCCCCTGGCACCTCTCCCACGCTCCCACCCCACCCCCAACCCATATCGTCATTACAATCCAGACCCACAGAACTGTTGGTCTACCTCTCTGAGGTCGATGCCTTTGTTCTGCATCAAATGCCAACCTGTTCCAGGCTCAGGTCTTCACCGTGAACTGCTCTTCATCCTACAAAACCCGATACCACCTTCTCTGTGAAGTCCTCCCGGATTATCTCTAGGCAGAGTTAATCACTCCCTTCTCCGGGCTGCCACTGATCTGTGTACATCATAGGAAGATATTCTATCTTTGCCTGTCTCTCTCCTTTTCCCCCGCATCTAGAGCTTCCTTGAGGCCAGGGAGACTGGACCTTATTTACCTCTGGATTCCCAAAGCCCAGCACAAGCCCAGCCCCCAGTAAGTACTCAAGAAATAGCTCTTGAATCCAGTGGTCCCACCAGCCTTATGGCTGGCATTTTCTGTGTCTGTTTCCTCCACAAGACTGAGAACCTCCCGAGGGCAGGTCTGAGCCCTGCTCATCTTCCCGTATGGGTTGGCAGGTAGGTGAACAAAAGCAAGTGCTTTGTTCATTGTGAAGCAAGATCTAAGGGAAAGGCAAGACAAAGGAAGAAATCCCTAGATGGAAAAGCAGACGAACGCATCGTTCAGAGTTTGTCCTTGAGGTGGTGGGTGTATCTGCCTGCTTGTCCGTGCGTGTACGTCTGCATTTGTGTACATGGGTGTCATTTGCGGGACTGTGTGTGCGGGTGGGTCAGAGTGCAGCTGCGGCTTGCTCGTGAGGACGCACGCATTACTGTGTGTGGTATACGAGCATCACTGTACTATTGTGTGTGTTATTTGTCTAGAGTTTGTGGGTAAGTCGAGTGCATATAACCGTACATGTGTCTATGGTTCGTGTGGAGGTGTGTGCCTCTATGTGTGAGTGTGTGGAGGTGTAGTGTTGCATCAGGGTTTAGACGATGAAGTAGGAGGGAGAAGAAAATGCAGAACTTGTGATTGTCAAATGCCAAGTGCAGAGAGCAAGAATGCACAGGTGTTCCCGACAGAGACCTGTGTGCAGGCCCTGCAAGTCCCATCCCCAGCGTCGACTCCATTCATTCATTCCTCACTCGCTGGTGAGCCCATGTGGACTCCGCTGGCCTCCGCGCTGGTTGCTCGGGACCTGACAGGCCCTCTCCTCCCAGGAATGCCCGTTCTCCTGGGGGAAGACAGACGGTAAACAGTCGCAGAAGCGCGTGCGCGATCAGCACCGCGGCAGAGGGACCTGGGGGTGTGTGGGAGCACAAAGGAGGGACCCCTGTTACAGTTGGGAGGTCCGAGAGGTTTCCCAGAGGAGGAGCCATCCCGGCTGAGCCCCAGGACAATCGTCTGGCCTGGGATGGCTTTCCTGGGCAGCCACATGTGCTGAGGCCACCGTGGGCCTCCGCGCGGGGCTCCCTGCCCCTCGTCCCCGTGCTGGAACCCCCATCTTTGCTGTCCCCTGGCTCACTCTTGCTGTCCACCCTCCCAGCAGGCCCTGCGGAGAAGAGGACTGTGCTAACTAAGAAGAGGGAGAAGAAACCAGGGCTGAGCAAATGGGGGAGGCTCCTGGTGCTTCCTCTCCTCAGCAGGCCTTGGGCCACGAATCCCTGCCTCTGGAGCCGTGGGTGTACGGGCGTGGATGTGTTTATGTGTATCCAGCCTAGCTATTAGCCTGGAGGCTCCTGGAAGGCAGAGGAACATCTGTCGTGGTCTCCCCCTGCCCTGACTCCCCAGCAGGGCCCAGGTGGCTGGAGGCTCAGGGGGGTCAGTCAGGCTGGACGGACTTGCAAATTTGACAGCCAGTGTGGACCAGAAGCCCAATGTGGTTGACAAGGGCAGCTGGTCAACAGACCAGACGCTGGGAGAGAAAATATCAGGCTTCTGTGACTGATATGATTTTAAATCCTTATTCACAGGCAGGCCTAGAATTCTTTTTTTTTTTTTTTTTAATTTCAGGAAAAAAAGCTTGATAGAATAAATGTGATGGTAGTACATGAACTAGAATCCTGGAGGCTTTCAGTTCCCCTCAGGGCCCTTGCCTCTTCCTGCGCACCTACGATGCACCTGGCTCCGTGCGGCATCCGCAGAGCTGGGAGCTGGGAGCTGGGAGCTGCAGCCCCCGGGGGCATATGGGAGTGGGGATGCCACTCAGGGCCCGGCCTGGGCTGCAGAGGAGGGGCAGGCTCTGTGCGCTTGCAGGAGAATCTGAAAGAGCTTCCCGGAGAAGGTAACATTCGAGCTGTGCTCTGAAGAAGGAAAGATGTTTCTGAGGAAGAGATCAGCATGTTCAAAGGCCCAGAGGCAGGACTGGGTAGGCAGTTGGCAAGCAATAGTAAACGGCACCCTTTGACCCCAATACGGGCTAGACCAGGGATGAAATGGTGCAGTGAACTCAAACGGGAGGACCTCGTTGCGGCTCTGGGCTCCAATCTTCTGTGACCTGCGGTGTGGCCTTGCTCCGTTCCCTTCTCCTCTGTGTGAACTGGTTTGTGGCTGATGGAACCATAGAGCGGAAATGTGGCAGCCGAGACAGATGTGTGGCGCGCTCGTCCCAGCCTGCTGTGCCCGGAGGCCATTAGCTCCTGGGGAGCTTCCGTGCTGTCAGTTTTGAGGCTGCGTGATGTGGTGGGGAAGGGCCCAGGCTCCGGAGCCAGACTATATAGGTTCAAACCCCGGCTCAGCCCCATGCTAACTGAATCCTGGTACAAGGTCCCTAAGCTTTCTCTGCTGTGGAGAGAGCATGAACCCTTACCAGGGTGCTGTTGTGGGGATTCAGTGAGCTCGTACCAGACATGGGGCCCCCTAGCCCTGACCCCCCACCCCGGTGTTTCTGCATTCAGTGCTCAAGGAAGCCATTGTCCATCGATTGTTGCTTTTCCTGATTTAATCGGCTCTCCCCACTGGAGATGGCCACAGCACGTGTGGGAGACGGGAAGTCCTTCCCAGGGTCTCAGTGACTTAGCAGAGCTGGAGTTCACTGTCCCCTGAGTTCACTGTTCCCAGAGCTTATTGCATCACAGCAAGTTACGGGCATGTGCTTGCAGGAAGAATCCTGTACGTGCTCAAGATGGAAACTCCTTAGTCCTGCTCTGTGAAGGGGCTAGCTGATCTCCCAGCCCTCCCAGCTCCACTGGGTGTGACTGTCACCCCCAGGGCTGGCCCAGGGGAGTTAGTTAGTCTTGGGGGTGGGGGATGGCCACTACCCCCTCCTCTCGTGCACAGTCTCCGCACTCCTTGGGGCCCATTGCGTCTAGAATCTCTGTTGCCGGACTACTCCCCATGCTCTCCTGGGCCCTTACACCACCCCTTCTCGGGAGCTCTGGCTCCAGCCTGGGGTCTGGGGCATCTCAGGGCAGACTGTGGGGCCCCTCAGAGGACCCGCTCCTGGCTCTGGGTGGGTCAATTCCAGCAGCCTGCATGAGCCTTCAGAGACACTCTGGAGCCAGATGGCCTGGGTCTGAGGGGCCTTGGGAGAGACGAGGCCTCCAGCTTTGCAACCAGAACCTCTTCCAGATCCTCCCTGGTGCTCCCAGTCCTTGGGGAAAAGACCCAAGGAGGAGCTTCCAAAGTGTGGTTCAAAGACCACCTGCACCAGAATCACCGGGGGCTGGGGGTGGGGCAGGCTCATGAAACATGCCATTCTCTTGACCTTGCAAGAGTGAGACCTACTGCATTTGAGTCTGGGGGGCTGGGGGCCCGGGAACCCGCATGGTAGCAAGCTCACCGGGTGAATCCTGTGCATTCAAGTTGGACAAGCTCGGGGTCAAGGGGCAACAGAGTTGGGGAAACCCTCTGTATCAGGAATCCTAGTACTGTTTGCGCCTCAATGCCCCACTTCCTAAAAGACGCCGGGGAGTCAGTTTGTCCCGATGAGCAAGCCTGAGCCTGAGCCTTCTCTTCTCCCCAGCTGCCTACACTGCTCACACATCCCCGCAGTTTCTAATTTCAAAATGGGGCCATTTGAGCTGTGTGTCAACTCCCTTCCCCTGGGCGCCGTGCCTTAGGAGGCTGCCCACTGGGGAGGCGTCCAGGCTCCCATTCTTCTGAGGCTTGCAGGCAGGGCCCAAGGAAGGCACGGGAGAGCCTACTGCAGGCCAGGGGTGTGGGCTTTCCTGGTCTAGAGCCTGCCTCTGACTTTCTAGACACAGCAAGGGCCTCCTAAACCCCTTTCTCCCAGAAGTCCCGCACTGTCCCCTCCATCCCCAGTGGCAGCTTGGCTGCCAGCAGGCTCACCTGCAGAGGGACACCCGTACGGGGCCCCGGAGCTGGTGCTGGTGTGGGCTGGAGGAGTCTGACACCCACTCTGGCCCCTGCAGATGGTCCGATGCCTTACTCACTCGGCAAGTGTTTGTTAACACCTGCTGAGTGTGGCTTGCTGTGCTGGGTGCTGGAGGGGGGAGGGTGGGGGATGGGGGACTGTTTGGGGGCATAGAAAGAAATAGAAGACTGGGGGAGTGGAGAAGCCCACACACAGGTTTAGAACAATCACTGAGCAGCCTGCCAGGCAAAGCGAAACACACTCATCTAAATCCAGGCTGCACGCGCTTGTTCGGCAGGCCCCGGTGGGGTGGCGGCTGGTGGGGGGTGGGTCTCAGAGGTGTAGGGTGTACACTAGGGTGGAGGGGCAGGAATGAGGCAGGGGCAAATAGGACTTGAGTTCTAGTCTTGCGGCCACCATGCTCGTGCTGTGTGGCCTTGGGTAAGTCCCTTATCCTCTCTCAGTCTCCATTTTCCCCACTCCGGTCTTTCCCCCCATACATAGGCCCTGGAAAATGGCAGATTTAAACTAAGTTTGCGACACCAAGTAAGGGATATGGCTTCTTGATCACCTGAGTAGACTCTAAGCTGAAGATCTGATATTGACCCAACAGGCAGTATAGGGTAATGGTTAGAGACCCTGTGATTCGGGGTCACAGACTTCATGGGAAGCCAGCTCCATCACTGACATATCAATGTCCCCACTCCGGAGTGGGCGGATCTCCAGCATCCTCGTGGGGAAGATCACATGGGACAGTCTGGCTGGGGCAGGGGTACCTGGATGGGCACCCAAGGACGGGGTGGGGGCCTGTGTAGTTCATCAACAAAGCACCGCTTCCCCCTGTGCTTTTATTCAGTGTTAATTGCAATATCTCCTTTTGGGGGGTTTCAAAGAGTACGAAAGCGGAGAGAGGTTTACTTCTCTGAAAGATGGCGTGGAGTCTGAGGTCTGAGGGGTTTCAGGATGAAGGGGGCCTGGCACAGTGCCCGGCAGGCAGTCAGCTCTCCCCGCTGCTCGGAGACTCTGCTCATCCCTCCGGTTCCTCCCTGGACCATCTGCAGCGGACTCCTTTCTTACCTTCCTCTTCTGCCATGCTTGCATCCTGGGGACAACTGGAGCCCCCCATCTGGCCCAGAGTCTAGCTGAGCCTCTCCCCCCAGCAACTTGGTCTTGGGCTAAGCCTGATCCCTCCTCCCCTGACTGGGCTGCCTCTAGTTTAGGAGCTATATGTACAGTGTCTAAAATTAGAACCCGCGTTCCAAATCTGGCTGCTATTCACCGGCTGTGTGATTTGGGACACATCACTTAACTTCTCTGTGCTTCAGCTGCCTCCTCCATAAAAAAAAGACTAATGAACCCACATCATCATCGGGCTCTTGTAGAGATGAAATGAACCAATGCGTATGAAACACTTAGCACGTACTAAGCACTCCATCAACATGCTGCTCTTCTTTGGGTTAAAGCCAGGGGGCCATTGGATCTGTTTTCTTAACTTCCACAGAGCTGTCTCCCTGCCTGGGCCAGTCGTGCCGGAAACTGTAGGAGTGAGTAATGAGAAGGATCCATGTGAGTGCGTGGTCAAAATAGAAGCTGCCGTGGCGAGGCGAGAGAGATGAGGCGTCCGGGGAGAGCCTGCCTGCATGCCTTCAGTGTGGTGGGCCTACAGGTTGTCATGGAATGAGCCGCTCACTGATGTTTGTGGAGCCGCCTTGCACATTCCAGGACCGGGGCACAGGGCCCCATCGTGTGAGCCTGCTGGTGGGGGGCTGGGTTCAGCAGGGACGACTCCTCCGAAGGAGCAAGGGTGGAGCAGGACATGAGCAAGGGCACAAGCAGCTCCAGCCGGACTCAGCAGAGAGAGGAGAAGGAGAAGAAGCCATGTGAGGGCCAGCAAGCCGGTCTGAGCCCTGGTGACTTGAAATTCTTCCCCCTGTCCTCCCCGTTCCCTCCCTTCCTCCCTCCCGGATCCCCGCTCTCCTCGGAAGGAAAAGTGTAATCTTACCAGGACCCAGCAGAAGAGAAAATCCAGCCCAACAGCATTTTAAGTAAATGTCTTTAAGAGTTGTTATATCCTAAGAGTGCAAAAGAAAGGAAGATTCCATCTACTTCAAAACGCCTGACTTAAAGGATAAATATGTATACACGTGGTCAGAAGCGAAACATGCAAATGTAAGCTTGCAATCCACCTTGTGTAATCATAGCCAGATGAATGAAGGGGTGTGTGCATTGCCAGGGTGCAGAGATCGGGCTAAAGAGCTGGCGAGACAAGCCCTTGTGGGCTGTTTTTCTTTTAAGCCCATGACAGAGAACCTGGAAACAGGGTTCAGGGAGGCCCTCGGAGGCACCAAGAACCCAGTAACATCCCAGGAGAAATTTCCTACCCTCAGCAACCTCAGCCAACCGGCCTATAACTGCCCCCTGGCAGGTAGGCAGCCCCAGTTAACTGGGATCATGGTTTTTCTTAGTGCGTGCGTGTCTTCGAACTCCAGGAGGATTTGCGGGTCACATGTAGACAAACTTAAGGGAATCCAAACCTCAGTATTTTCTTTTCTGTTACATGCTCACTTGCAATGCTAAGATAATTTGGCCCATTAAAGTGAGAGTCTAATCATTCTAATTTAAAATATAATTGCGTAATTAACTTCAATACGTGAGTTTAAGCTGGAATCTTTCTAAGCTTAGGCTCGGTGGTAGAATATTTAAGAGAATTTTAGGTTCACCACCTACACTCATTGAATTCACTAGATGTAAAAGAATTAAGTACCCAGGGAGATTTCCTTAAGACTTAAAAACAGGCAAATGGATTAGAAAGGAAATCTGACTGATGACTCTAAGAATTTTTTGGAGCTATCCCCTACACTCAGAAAAATCCCCACAGCCCAGGGAGCCAGAACCGGATGGAGATTTCTAGCGTTGCTAGAACCCCGGGAGCACTCCTGACCCTCCACCCACCCTGCTCTTCCCCTCCAGCGAAAGCCACTAACCCAAAACATTAAGTTTATAAATACAACATGGATTGCTTGAGGCCTGTGTAATTACTCAAGGTTGTAAACAGGACTAAGTCATTCAAAGACTTCTCGGAAGTGGTTGCTAAACCTGCTCCAAACAAGCAAAAAGATTTGCAAGCAGACTTAACAAGCCTCACAGCGAACCAGGGTTAAGAAATGTCAGTTAAAAAAAATTGAACTCTTGTTAGTCAACTCAAAGTAAATCTATGAGTAAGTAGTCTTTTCTGGGTACAGCCCCCACCTGGGCAACCGAGCCAAAACCTCCGTGAACTCGCTCAAGTCCGGTTCAAAGTCACTGTCCCAAGTCCTGAAGGAATTTTCCTTAAGTTACCATCAAGCCTAATTACTTTCCTTGGGTGGATGTGCCCAACAGCCCCGGCTTGCTTCCAAGGATCTCGCTTTCTTCTTGAAATGACATTAAATTGCCTATGACTTACTTTAAAGTGCTTCAGATCGACAATGTGACATATCTTTTCTGTTACTTTTACGCTGTACTTGAGGGCAGTTCGTGAAAGCAAACAGGAGTACAGACTCTGGGGATGGGTGGTTAGCATCAGAAAGACCACTCAGAGGCCCATGATTCACAGGGGCAACGCAGCTGATTCTTGAGCAAGGGGTGAGGGGCACCGTCCCCACACAGGCAAAAATCCACCTGTAACTTTTGACTCCATATGTATATGTATTATATACTGTATTCTGACAATAAGCTAAAGAAAATGTTATTAACCATAAGGAAAATACATCTACTGTGCTTTTCTGTATTTATTGAAAAAAACCCACGTGTAAGGAGACCCACGCACTTCAAACTTGGGTTACTCAAAGGTCAACTGTACGGGACTTCAGTTGCCTTATCCGCCTGCAGCACCAAAGGGCTGGCTCGTTGGCCTGATGGATGAAGAATGACTTTTCCTCAGTGAATGCAGTGGTGTAAGCAACGTGGAGATTGGGCTGGAGATACTGTTGGGGCACTGTCCCTCCTGTGGAAACAGGGTTTTAGAAACCAGTGGGTCTGACAGCCAAAGAAAGCCCAGTGTGGGTGCCTATCAGTGGAGAATTGGGTGGGCTGCCTCCTTCTAGAATCTCCGCTGAATTCAGCACTAGAATACTGTTGTGTCTGCCTTGGGTAGATCTTCCAAGCAAGGAACATCTAATCAGAGACCTGGGTCTTTGTGGAGCTACACAGCCAGCAATTTGGGGGCCCCCCGTTTGCTAATATATAATGTGTGCTTGCTAATAAATGTGTATGTGTGTGGCCACATTGGTGGGAGACGCATTTTTGTTGTAACTTCCCATAGGTGGCCCGGTTGTGGGGGAGAAGAGGGTGAGTTCTTCTCTCCCTCTACCCGTAGGAAATTATTGGTATTTATGGAAGCGAGTCCAATATTTGTGGATGACTCAGTTGGTTCAGCAGAGAAGCCCAGTGGTGGGATGCCAGGGAGGGGTTGGGAGACACACCTTGAGGTGGGAATGCCTCCACCCCACTAGCTGTCATCTGCTTCAGCTCTGAGTGATGTGCGTGTTCGGGGCTTAGCTCCTTCAGACTCTATGAAAACCTACCCAGGGGCTCTTGGCTTCACCCCTAGCCAATTCCACCCAGGACCTGGACATTTGGGTAGGGGTGGGAATTTCTCTTCCTTATAGTGGGTTCGGGGCTCCTGCTAGACCCTCCTGTCTTCTCTTCCAATTGACGTCAAGCATTGTACATCCTGCATCTCAGCAACAGCATCCAGGTTGGCTGGAAGGGTCAGTGACTTCTCTTCAAAGTGCTCCTTGGAGGTCCTTTTGAAAATGGCTCTTTTGAAGATAAGACAGCAAGTACTTAGCACAAAGCCTGCCCACCCCACCCCACTTCCTTCCTTCCTTCCTTCCTTCTCCCTCCCTCTCTCCCTTTCTTTCATCCGGAGTGAGAAGCTCTCTTGGCCTAAATTGAGTATAAGCCAATCATACATCCATTTCATAACTTAATTCTCTGGGACCAATGCTCATCCATAATGGATGCTTTTTCTTCCTGCTTCTTCCCCAGCTCTTCCCTGCAATAAAACAGCTTAAACTGGGGCCTGAACAAGACATCCCCTTTGGGTCTAAACCCTCAAGCTCCCTCCAGGCAGCTCCCAACCACACCAACAGTAAAGCCCCTCCCTGCACCCCCACCCAAATCCCCAGGAGCTTCTAGAACACTCTAGACGGCAGCAGGAGCAGCCTGTCCTTGAGCAGCCGACCCTCTGAGGACTCCTTCCACTCCGACACCCACAGGCGTTCTAATAGTTTCCTTCCCCCAGCGGAGGCCCAGCCCCGGCCAGCAGGGAGGCCTGCATTGTCTTCATATCCGCACCCATCTGCTGGCCTCCTCGTCCTCTGAGCCAGCGAGACAATCAAACTCATGACGCTAGCGATTGGGTACTCCGAGGAAAACAGCTCACACAATATGGGGAAGGCAGCTGGAGGCAGAGGAAAAAGGTAGGCCAAAGGCGGTGCTATTTTTGGAACAATTTTCAAAGGTAACGTGTAAATATGCTCCTCGTGAGGGTTCTTTCCAGAAGACATTGAAGGAAGTTGTGTCAAGTGGGTCTGGTGTCAAATGGCTGTTGACCGAGCTGTGAAGGGTCGGGAAGGTGTTTAAAAGGCTTTTTATTTGTGCCCAATGCTCCTCTGGCACCAGGACGAGGCTCCCCGCTCACTCCACCTTTGCTTCCTGTCCCCCACCTTTCCCCACACCCAGGTGCTCCTTGATCTCAGAACTCGGGTGCTGGGAGGTGACAGAGGACGGCCCCTCCTTCCTGCCTCTCACACATGCAATATGTCCAGTGACCGCCCATCCTGTCACTCCCTTCCTAACTTTAGGGGTCACTTTGTCCATAACATCCACACTTGCAGGGTCTCAGGAGGAACTGGGCATTTTAACCCATCCAGCTCAGGCTCTGTTCTTTGACACCATTGCTCCCTCCAGGTTTGCTGAGCGTTCCTTAACCCTTTAGGATGTTGCAGAATCCAGGATCCTGAAGAGAACATGGGTTTGGGGTCAGAAAGACCTGGGTTTGAAACTGGTCCCTTGAACTCACTAGCTGTGTGACCTTGGGCCAGTCACTTAACCTCTCTGAGCCTCTGTTTCCTCATTTGAGATGTGGAGATTTGGAGAGTCCTCCTGGGGGTTAGTCTGCTCATGGACCACATCAATTTCCGGCACATCCTGAGTGCTCAAGACACGGTGGTCCTTCGCCCTGTCCTCCCCCCCTTCCCCACCCCCCTTCGTAGGTGCGGAGGGGAGAAGGGGCCCTGGGCTGCCTGGTGAAGCTGAGCCTGGCTGGCTGGTTCTGGTGCACGGGCTGCCGGGCAGGCACGGCTGAGGGTGGTCTCTGGCAGCCCCGCAGCGGGCTGTGTTTCTATTAGAGCTGGAGGGCCCCCGCCCCAGAGTGCAAAGAGTGCTCTGCGTCTCCGCCCACCGTGGGGAGCAGCCTGATCCAGGGGGCCCCGGGGAGGGGGAGGTGGGGGTAGGGGTAAGCATTGCAGTCAAGGATGTCATCCTTCTGAGCCAGGAGCTGTTATTAGTTGTTCTGACCCATAATTGGGCTGTAACCAGCCTCTGACCCAGGAGGAGTGTGGGGACCGTGATTATCTGCGATTAGCCTCTGCATGCCTCAGAATGCTGATTCCACACTGTCCCCTCCTCTCCCGCCCCAGCGCTTCCGGAGGAGCCTGCCAGAAAGACTCCGACAAGAGCTTCTGGCTCAGAGACCTGCCTGGAAAGCTCTTGCCTCCACTCGGCTGAGCCCACCCAAGCCTTAGCCCACCACCAGGAAATGGACCAACCCCAGCGCTCTGGTTCTGAGCGGCAGGTGCCAGCATCTTTCCTCTCCAGCTAGGGAGAGACACAAGCTTACCCGAAGTAAAACCGGCCCAGGGCAGTGTGGCCCGGTGGTGTAGAGTGCAGACTGAAAGCAAGCCGGCCTGGGATCCCATCCCACACCTGCTGTGCCGCTTAGGAGCTGTTTGGCCTCGGGCAAGTTATGAAGCCCTTCTGGACTTTCTCCTCTGTGCGGTGGGGGACGCGCCTCCCCAAGTTGCAGCGAGAATTACATAGGCAGATAGGTCGTTTACCTGGGCGCTGGTCACAGCGTCTCCTCCTACGTGGCTGGTACACCTGCCCTCAGAGGTGAGCAGGACACAGACCTGGGGTTCAAAATCCTTTCGTGCTGGGGAGACAGACTAGACATGCGTATTAGTAAAGCGGTTTCATGGGTGGCTTGGTCGGTGAAGCAACAGATTCTTGATTTCGGCTCAGATCATGATCTCAGGGTCGTGAGATCAAGCCCCGTGTTGGGCCCTGTGCTGGGCATGGAGCCTGCTTAAGATTCTCTCTCTCCCTCTCCATCTGCCCTTGCTCCCCCCGCTCCAAGGAGCAACCAAATGCCATCTCTGCCTCCCTGACCTTCTGCCCACCTGTTTAGCCCTCTCTTGTGGTCTCCTGCTTGCTGCTTCTGAGAGCAAGGTGCATGTGGCTTTGTTGCTTGCTGTCTAGCCATTGCTCAGAGTACAGCTGACTTGCTGACTTGGTAGGTTGGAGGCTGAAGAGGTCAGAATGAGAGTCAAAACTCAGGTTTGGAAAGCCACCTAGGCCAACCGGCTCAACTGATACTTCAGTCCCTTCTGAAGTATCTCTGCTGGCATACCTCAGGGATGGGGAACTCACCACCTTTAAGAGTAGCGTATTGCCTGGGAAAGCCCTCTGTCTCATCGAAAGTATTTCCCGAGCAAGCTGAACTTTGCCTCCCACTATCTCACTAACTCTGTCTGAGCCTTCCCACATGTTCAGAGATGCGAAGTTCTCCATGCCTGCTCTGTCTCGGGGCTTGTGGGCCCCCAAACAGGCGAGCAAGTGCTTCGCCTCTGCTTCTGGAGCTGTGCCAAGGGGAGCTCCTGACTCCAGGGGAAACATCTGCCTGATGCTCTCTTATCTGAAGTCTCAGGGTGTCCATGAGCCCCTCTACCCTGGGCCTCTCCCCCTAGCTCCTCTGAGAGGGCTCGGGACCATGGGGCAGAGCCTGGAGACCTTTGAACTCACTGCTTCTGCAGCAGACCTGGACCATCCACACTCACTCTGAGCATTGTCCCCTCTGCTTCCTCTTTACAGCTGTCTCCTGAGACT